AATTGAATGGAAAGTAAGGTAACTTTAGTTTTAAATTATATTGCATTGTTTTCCATGTCTACATTACCAAGGTGTTTTATGTATTGCTAGAACTTACACACACTAAAGTTTTGTGTATTGCTAGAACTTGCTCATATACTAAAGACATACACTTGCACAAAAAGATTCACTATTTTGTCAACATACTTTGTATAGTGTTTTACTAATTCATATGCATATTTATGCACAATGCTTTATAAAAAAATATTTTAGTACTCAAATGTTTGGCTTTATTTTAATAGGACAAAAATATCTTTAAAAAAGAAAGAATACGTACAGCTTTACCCTGTTTGCTTCCATATAATGCAATAAAGAGTAAATATGTAGATAACAAAAGTGTAAGCTATGGTAAATTTTACATGCTAAAATTTTAGAAATCTAGAAATTCTTTTACATGAACTGGTTTGACCTACAAAATGCAATAGAAGAGAAACAGAAAAATAAATACCTTTTCTGTCTGGAAATCAAAATTCAATAATGGCGTTATGAATTTTAAATTCTTAATATATCACCAAAAGCAGTTTTAAACTATTTGGTCAAGTACATATATGTTTTACACACTTTAAAATTATGTAGATAATTTTTCTGCTCTATGATTTTCACCCTAGGCTAATCTGTTAATAATATCTACTTCTTTCTATTAAAAAGATCCCTGTAATAAAACATAATCCTCATCCCAGAATCCTTTCTTTTTCATCAACAAATTTAATCATGTGGAAAATAGATGCTATAGTTCCAACTGTTTATTTTAAAAAAGAAAAGGAAATTTAAAAATAAAAATTGAACAGCTGTTTATACACTAAATAAATGTGTTCTTTTCCAACCATTACAGATACATATCTGCATATATCAGTTGGAACAGCCTTTAAATAATTTAGTCTTATTTATTTGCATTTATAACACATGATAAATTTATTTATTGGAATACATAATTTCTTTGAATTTATACTCTTTGTGGACCTTACAGTTTAATAAATGTATCCAGACACTATTTCATTTGTCCCAAGTTACATACAAAAGCATATTGCATGGGTTTGCAATAAATTAACAGAATTAAACATTCTATTATTTCATTAGGCTATAATTCTCTATACATTTAATTAGAAAAAAAGTCACAACAAATTCAGCCAATTATATATGAAATGCATCACTGGCTACCAAAATGTTTAATTGTGTGTCTACTTAAATATCTGTTATTCAGATAATCTATGTGGTCTCTAGTTTATAGTAAAGATCAATGGATATTTTTAACCTACATTTGTCAGTCTATAAAAGTATTAAACAAAGATATCTATTCTCCCTTTTGATTTTAAATGTCTATTTAAAACCTTGATTTATGTTATCAGGCAAGATCATATTTATGGCCTTTCTGTATAATCCATTAGAATATAATTTGGTATTACATGCTGATATTATTTTAATGTTTGTTTATGAATTTTGTCTTCCGATTCCAGCTTTGATTCACTCTATTAATGTATTTTACATTATTTTCTCAATTCAAACATGTAATATAATAAACATTAAGAATTCACTATTCTTTTCTTGAAGAAACTTTACAATCATGATTGCTGTAAATGGAATTTACCCAAAATTATTTAAAATAATTAAGATATTTAACCAAAATTATATTTCATTTTCTCTCTTTGTCAAGAAGTGCTATTTAACCACAACTACATAAGATATTCTCAAACATCAGCTGCAGTTTTAAAAAGCAAATATTACAGATTTTAATGAATGTTAAAGTATAAGCTTTCATCATTACCATGTATTGCTATCTACCAAATAATTTAGCTTAAAATACATGAAAGAATGTATTAGTTTCCTATTGATCAACCTTATCCTATCCTTATTAAGCAGCATTTCAGCAACATATTGATGTTACTAATAATAAAAATAAAAAATTGATTTCCATTATTCTCATAACTACACCAAGTTTTTGTAATATGCAGTGAAATCAGAAAAATATATTCTTCATTTTTATGTTTCCATGAGCTTTTCTTTTGAAGTTCCAGACTTCTTACATATATGAAGGAAAGGATGTTCCTGAAATCAGTGAAGACATCCTGTTTCATCTATACCAGGGATGTCAAACTGCCAGCTGCGGACCGGATGCATCATAGCGAAACCGTGCCCACCCCATTGCCGGCAATGGAAAAAAAGTCGTGATACATTGCAACACGTCACATGACATTGTGAGTTTGACACCCCTGATCTATACTGTTTACTAGGTTCTTTACAATGCAAAGCATTCTGCAATAAACTAAGTACACTGAATGCAGACCAAGGATGTCTACATTTATGCACACTAGAGGCTCTCCATACCCTTGTGGTTTTTAATATGTTAATTTGGGATCCTAGACTTACTCAACTCAAATAAATGTGTGTCATGGATTCATTTGAGATGCAGATCTTAAAGTCTTCTACACTGATTCCTCAGGGGACATTAGCCTATGACCAGGAAGTTAAATTTCCATATCACCAACTTATAGTGAATTTAAAAAATAGAAAAGGGATTGTACTCATTCTGTAATGAAACCAGTATCTCCATGGCAACTTTTTCATGTATCAAATGGTTAAAACCTCGGGACACATTTAGATCTTAACAGTAGTTTTGTTGAAGGTATCTCAAAAAAATTCTAGAACTGTTGATCACTTTTAAAATATAGTAGCAGTGTCATCTTCCTGGAGGAGGGAAATGATAAAAGCAATTTTAAGGTGCTGATACAATGCAAATTCTATCCATTTTGCAGATCCAGTATAACATTCCTCACTCATACAAAAGGAATTTTGCAGATCCATTATAACATTCCTCACTCATACAAAAGGAGTGGAACTTGCATTGTAAAAGCATGAAAGCAATTCATTTTACAGAAGCATCCATTAAGGATAAAATTCTACTTTATTATTTTTAAAATTATAGATGGCATTGATAACATCTTTTTACAAATATTTTAGATGTAACTTTAGCTTTAGAAACCTTCCAGAACTGAATAGAAAAAATTACATGTTTCATTAGGCTTTCTGGTTAAGCAGAAAGGTACCATTTTCCTACTGATAAAAAGTTACAAACTATTGTTTATCTCCATTAAGCAAAGATGGGGATCAAAAATAGTAGAGCGGCGTTGTTAATATAAAAAACAAAAGTGCTGATCAAGCTAAACATCTGTTCGTACTCTAGCATCTTTAAAGTAAAAAGTTACAAAATAACCAAACTTGACTTTACCCAAATTAGTAATAAATCTAGATGCTAAACAAAGAAGAAAAAACAATTAAATAGTTTATAAATAGGGGCTATATATTTACAGTATATTTATTTACATATCTAACTACTCCTCACCTCTAGACAGGATGGCATCACATAAATATAATAAAATAAATCTACAAAGATTGTTGTCAATAGATCTTGGATTACACTAATGACTAAAGAGCCAGGGCTGCAATTATTCAGATGCAATTTCATCTAATAAGTACAAACTAACTCACTAGTAATGCTACTTCCATAAGGTAAAGAGCAGAAACTCTATTGAGTGGTCACTGGACAACATATAAGACAGGAATTATATGCTTTTGATGTCCAAAGGCTCTTGTGATAGTTTATGTCTCTAGCTTGTAAAAACAGGTGTGCTAACATATACCTTTTATAATAATAATAATAGTAGTAAAGTTGGAAGGGACCTTGGAGGTCATCTAGTCCAACCCCCTGCTCGGGCAGGAAACCCTACACCATTTCGGACAAATGGCTGTCCAGTCTCTTCTTAAAAACTTCCAGTGTTGGAGCATTTACTGCTTCTGGAGGCAGACTGTTCCACTGATTAATTGTTCTCACTGTCAGGAAGTTTCTCCTTAGTTCTAGGTTGCTTCTCTCCTTGATTAGTTTCCACCCGTTGCTTCGTGTCCTGCCTTCAGGTGCTTTGGAAAATAACTTAATTCCCTCTTCTTTATGGCAGCCCCTGAGATATTGGAATACTGCTATCATGTCCCCCCTTGTCCTTCTCTTCGTTAAACTAGACATACCCAATTCTCGCAACCGTTCCTTATATGTTTTAGCCTCCAGTCCCCTAATCATCTTTGTTGCTCTTCTCTGTACTCTTTCTAGAGTCTCAACATCTTTTTTACATCGGGGTGACCAAAACTGGATGCAGTATTCCAAGTGTGGCCTTACCAAGGCATTGAAGAGTGGTATTAATACTTCACCGTGATCTTGATTCTATCCCTCTGTTAATGCAGCCTAGCACTGTGTTGGCCTTTTTGGCAGCTGCAGCACACTGCTGGCTCATATTTAAGTGATTGTCTACTAGGACTCCGAGGTCCCTCTCACAGTTACTACTATTGAGCATGGTGCCACCTATGCTGTACTTGTGCATTTGGTTTTTCTTGCCTAAATGTAGAACCTTGCTTTTTTCACCATTGAATTTCATTTTGTTAGTTAGTGCCCAGTGTTCAAGTCTGTCCAGATCCTTCTGTATCTGAAGCCTGTCTTCTGGAGTGTTGGCTATTCCTGCCAGCTTGGTGTCGTCTGCAAATTTGATGAGTTCCCCATCTATCCCTTCATCCAAATCGTTGATGAAGATATTGAAGAGTACTGGGCCCAGAACAGAGCCCTGGGGCACCATAAGAGAGGGGGAGAAACTATCATGAAGCATTTTTACATTGTATCTGCTATTTTGCAACAAATTTCTAACAAAAAGAAACAAATCAGCTAGTGGATATTTTGAAATCAGAATTCAGTTGCAGGTTATTTGTACATTCATCCTTGTCTATGGACAATAGAAATAGTTTTGCTGTGCTGGCAAGCTGTCTTTTCATTCTGCAGCAAATGCAAAGCTTCCTGCTCCTCCAGCATTTATTTTTGGGTGAAATAACAATTCAAAGCTGATTATGCCAATAGCAGTAATTCAACACTGAAGGGTAAGTGGTAACTTTGCTACTTATTAGCATTTATGTGCTTTTACTGTCAAATTTCTTTACTTTTGGAGAAAAGTATTTGCAATCTAATCTGTTGAGAAGATCTGCCATGCCAGATCCTGAATTGCTTTTAATCAACATTGTTGTGTGTCTTGGAAAGCCAGTGCCATTAGTTTTATTCCTTATCAGACTAACATTGACTTCACCATATCAACTATGTTATGTAGTGTTTAATTAATAGCTGATATTCAGATCCACTGAAATCAAAGAAAGATTTCTGAATTGGTTTTAAGGTTGCTTAAAGAAATGCATCTCTGCTTCCATAGAGGATGCAGTTTCCAGTTGTTTTTCTTTGTTATTCAAGATGGAAACATTCAATAATTAAATAACATTCATTTAAAAAAAATAACCAAATACTGACTTTTAGGATATCAAATAGCTTCATAACTATGATTTCTGATCATAGGTTTCTTTGCAATTTGTTCTATTATATACACTGATTGGCAATAAGGCAACATATAGTCCAAATACAGTTCATCTAGCAAATGAACACACAATAAAACAAGAGAAAATGACATAAATCTTTTAAAAAACAAATGGAAAAAGAAAACAGTCTCAGGCAATGAAAATCAACCATTGTGGGCTATTTGCCTTATGCTGTGATGACCATATCTTTACCTGGTATAGCAGCCTTAATTGAGGCAGACACAAAACATCTTCGTATTATGTATATTTAGCAAAGCATTTTAAATATAACATTTGAAAAACCATTGTCAAATATTGGAACACAAAGATCTATTTTTGCTAGGATTCCAGGGAAGTGTGCCCAGTGAATTCTGATGAGGACAAAGCAAGATGTCTTCCAGAGATTTTTTTGGGAAAGGATTGATCATAGAACTTTACTTCAATGTTCCCTTCACTGAATGCTTCTCTTCTAGTCTCTTGCAGGGAGACCAACTCTCTTCTACAGACCCCTTCCTCATGCTGCATCATTGTGATTTTCAAGTTTTTGTGTTGTCTGAATGGAGACAAGTTTTCTTTCATAATGCAAAAGCAAATGGCAGAAAGAAAGTTCTTCTTGAAGTTCTCATTCATAAAGGCATATACAATTGGATTGCAAATAGAATTAGCAAATCCAATTACCTGAACAATTCCAAATATCATCTTAATAGTGACATCATCATATTCTCTTTCAAAATTACCTACACAGAGAAAAATATGTTTAAGCATTTCTTCAATGGTACATGAATTATCTATTCATCATTTATCTCATTATGTATCTGAACCATAGAAATAAAAAACCATTTACTCCAGAATGAAATTAATTATAAGACATTTCACAAAATTCATTAAGAAGCATGCTATTAAAATTTTATTTGCCATATACATAACAAATGCATAATTTATAGTTAATAACTTAAGCTGATGACTAATAAACTGGCTCACGCCTTACAAACAAACAAGCCTATGCCTATGTTTTTGTGTGTTTGTGTGCTTTCAAGTAAACTTTTGACTCCTGGAGATTGCCTGAACAAGTCCCTTCAATTTTCAGAAGTAGTTTGCCACTGTCTCCTTGCTAAGGTTAACAGAAAGTGACTGGCCCAAGATCACCCACTGGCTTAGTTCCTAAGGCAGGACTAGAACTTATGATCTTCCAGTTTCTAAATAATGCCTTAACAACTACACCAAACTTGCTCTTTTACACCTATGATAGAAAAAGTCTACTTATCCAACTACATTATTTACTTCATTTATAATATGTATAAAACTGCACTATTGATCTTCCATTACTTATGACTAAATTTGTTCACTAGGAAGAGAGGCATAAAACTAAAGATCAAGCATTGCCTAGTAAAATATTCACATTGATAGGCATTTGTCAACAGGAATTTAAATGCTGTTTTAAATAGATATACATTTAATCAAATGAAACAATATTAAAATATGATTGCCATATACAATATTTCAATATTTTTTTAATTCTGGTATCCTGAAAACAACCACAGTATGAATCATATTCTTTCACTATCATTATTAGGCAGAAATCCCTCAGGCAACTTCCCACATTCTCTATGTGTATAGATATATGTACTCAAACATAATATATATAAAAATTATATATAAATAAGATGCTTTTAATAATAGATTGCAGGGAACTACTTATTTATTAAATTGTATTATGCTTGACTCATACATCCCAGTAAACATGAAAAATTGTCTTTATTGGAATACATTTATTATAAAATTCAATATTCTAGTGTAGTTTAACATATTGTCTTGTTTGTTTTCTTTAAACAAAATAATCCTTTCTCTGCTACTATTTAATAAAAACAAACTACTCACTGTATTCTATCAACATGTGCATTACATGGAAGGGTGTCCAACAAATAGCAAACAAAACCACCACAGTCACCATCATCATGATTGCTCGCTTCTTTTTTCTGAAAAGAGAGATAGTTTGGACTGTTGATCGAAAGCATTTTGATAGAAGACAATACAAATAATTTGTAGGAGGAAAAACTAGATCTCAGGAAGAAGGAAGATACTTTTGCATGGAGAGCATCCTATTTTCATATATATAGTTAAATGTTTAATATTTTATTTTTAAAATAAATTATATACTGTCCTTCTTGAGAACATTCTCTAAACAAGAAGGCAGGCAATATGGCAATCCAAAATTAAAATAGTTTAATGGTATGATTTTACCACCTCCATCATTTAGACCTCGTGGCTTATATTTATTCATTTACGAAACTACGTAAATTAGGAGCTAAAAGATGGAACATGAATTTTGGGAATCCAAGTAAAGTTCTCAAACAGTCATAGTGTCACAATATGACTTTAGTTCAATCATTCTCTTTTTGCACATGGTACCTTTCAGAGGTATGAGTGGGATAAAACATGGGTAAAAATCTACTTTTTGAGCTCCCAGAAGGTAAAATACAAATGCAATAAGTAAATAAACTAGGCAAGCCAACTGCTAGAGACAGTTTTATCCTGGTCTCCTAAAGTGCCATGGCCATTGAGAAAGCCCTTGATCTGTTTTCACCAGTCATGCTATGTAGCTACTGGAACAAGGAGAAAGCCCTGTCCAGTGAATCTTATAGAACAGGCTGGTAATGGATGTAGCAGTGTCTACAGGAAGTCTTAAGCAGATGGTATTGAGGATATTATAGTACAGGATAATTCAACGTAGGAAAATAAACAAAATCCTGCCATTTTGAAATGAATAGTAGAAGTAATTAAGAGATGGATTCATATGTTAAGTCATAAAATAGTTTGCGTGGCAATATTTTGGCTTTTGTACGAATCCAGACATTTTGATTTGTAAATTATAATTTATGGATCCACACAGTGCATGAGCCCAGTCATCAATTATAGCTATTTAAGCTATAATTTAATCTTATACTGGAATTTAAACAATCTTTATAAGGCTCTATGAACTCTGAAAACATTTTGGAAGGCCATCTCTGGAATAATTGGATTTTCACTTAAATATCCACACCTATACCCATACTCTCTCCCTATCTCCCTCCTTCCCAGAATTTTGACTTGCAACTCTTCAGTCCATGAAGCTGGAGTGAGCATACTAATATAAAAGAACATCATAATATAAATGACCAAGACGCTGCAAATAACAAACGGAAGAATCCCTCAGTGCTTTATTGGAGTGCTCTTCTTCTTCTTCACATTTAATTATGTCTTAAGTAATTTTCCAGGTATATTTGTTAGTTACATGTAGTTTTGTTCTATAAAGCTTCATTCAAAAGATAAATCCCTAAAATTAGACTTCAGGGAAAACTTGTTTAGCAAATATTCAATGTCCATAAGCTCACTGATGTTTTTAAAGAATCCTAGGGAATAAGAAAATATTAATTTATAAGAAGTAATATAAAAATGATATTAAAATTACAGGAAGCAATATAATAATTTTTTTAACATAGCAAAATGATATAGATAAAATTATATATACTAACCGAGAAATTTTAGACATCTCATTTGCATGAATGCTCTTGAGAACAGAAGCATCTCCAACTCTTTTTTTAACCCAGAGCTCATAACCAATCTTGCTATACAGCAATATCATCAGCATCAATGGGAGAAGAAAAAGAATGACCAAAATGAAAGTGGCATAAACTTTTTGGTGGACAGGACTTGGCCATTCTTCCAAGCAGCAAACATATTTCTTTTCATAAAGGAAGTCATATTTATTCTGAAACACAGTAAGCAGAGGTTAGTACAGATTCCTCTTTCAATATATTATCTGTAAGAAAAAATGTCCAAAGATGGAATGTTCATCCATAGGAAACTATAACTCTAAATGTGGATCTCATATTAAATCATCCAAGCTTAGACTACTTATCTATACATATCAATAAAAAATAAGGGAATAAGCATGCATGCCACCCCATTTTGTACTTAATAAGCAAATCTGGTTTATCTGTAGAAAACTGTAATTTTATGACCACAAATGGCTTTTTTACTCTGTGTATAATTTGCATATGTGAGGTAGTCCTCATTTAGCAACCGTAATTGGGACCAGCAAGCTTTTACTAAGTGAAACTGCTCATGATCTGACTTCAGCTTTACTTTGCTTTATAGAACTGTGAAGGTCATAAATATGAAAAATGATTGTAAATTTACTTTTTCATCACCATCATAACTGTAAACAATCACTAAATGAGGCAATCGCTAAATGAGGATTACCTGTATATATTTCCAACCCAATTAAATTTGTCTATGTGATACTATGATTTCCATCAACTGACTTGATTTCTACTGCAGAATGTCAATGTATAATTATCATAAATGCTATTTCTAACTTTGTGCTACAAAGCAGGAGTGTGTGCAGCATATAGTCAGAAAAGTCAAGATGATGGCCGCCATGCTGAGGTTAAAGCTCAGTCCATTTTTATGGTGTTGCACAAGTGATGCATATTTTTATAAAGGTAGTTTCAATCGCTCTACTTTTTGACATTTATCAAATCCTGCAGACATGAAAAGTGATTCTTACATTTTTATTACAGATTATATTCAGCTCCTAAACCATATTACACAAAACATCCCAAATTACTAGCCTGAATAAGTGCAAGTGTACAACACAACCATACCTCCACTCTTTGTACATGCCACATTGGTGAACCAACAGCAGCAGCCAACAGCCAAACAATGCCTAAAAGTAAAAAGTTGTTAGCGATTTGACAAAAACAACACAGGAAATTAAAATAACATTTGGTAGTTGTTTTTAACATTAGCCAGTATATGAAACATGATCAAAATGAAAGGTGAGATTAAAAAAAAATTCATGTACTCTCAGAAGATTTAAAACAATGAGCTTTATTTAAAGAAGGATTAATTACAGAATCCTATAGATTTGATGTATTTTTTTTAAAAAAAAAAAGACAAATATTTGGGGACGAAAAATATTACTGTTCAATGGAAATTCTAACTACAGGTAGTCCTCAACTTACAACAGTCTATTTAGTGACCATTTCAAGTTAGAACAGCACTGAAAAAAGTGACTTATGACTGTTTTTCACACTTACGACCATTGCAGCATCGCCATGATCATGTGATCAAAATTCAGACGCTTGGTAACTGACTCATATTTATGATGGTTGTGCTTTCCTGGGGTCATGTTATCACCTTTTGTGACCTACAGACAAGCAAAGTCAATGGGGAAGCCAGATTCACTTAACAGCCATGTTATTATTTTCCCAATTGTGATGATTCACTTAACAACTGTGGCAAGAAAGATCATAAAATGAGGCAAAATTCACTTAACCAATGTTTTACTCAGCAACAGAAATTTTGGGTTCAATTGTGATCATAAGTCAAGGACTACCTGTACTGTATTTCTCCATTTCTCATTCATTAAAAATAAAATTCATTCTAGATAAGTGCTACTTAAGTAAGATAAGGTATTGACAGTGTTAGCACTTACAAGAATGTTCATGTAGTCCAAAGTCTTTTGAATGCATATACTTATTACTTCATTGTTGATGCATTGCTAGTCAATATTTGTCATTCTATTCTGTACACTACTAGTCCAGTTATTAGTAGAATTAGGAAAAACTTTAAAAGTCAGAGGAAAATTGTATCCATTAGCTCTCATTCAAATCCCTGTGCAAATTGTCTCCTTGTCAATCACTCATGACTTCCTAGGTTGATTCAGTGGATTTCTATTTCTATTAGCCTAAACATAAAAATACCTTTTGCATATGGGAACCTGATAAAGCAAGATTAATTGTTGCTTGAAGGCTGAGAAATTAAAGATGAGACTATGGGCAAAATGTCAACGGACCCATTGTTCTGACTTAGCCTAAATGTCTGAATGAGATTTAGAATTATTTCAAGAAGTTCTAATCTAAAAATACTAGATTATACTAAAATATTTAAATAAAATCATTAGACATTTGTCTTTTTCTTCTCTTCTTTACACAAAATTATCACCATTGCATAATAGGAATAAGACATGTATTTAGAATTAATGTCGCAGAATATGCAAATAAATGTTTTTTTCCAAAGGAGCTTTGGTTAAGGAATTTAAGATTTTTTATTTTCACAAAAGTCAGCAGCCAAAGTAATGACAACACTCAGCTTTGCAGACCATTGTTACTCTAATATTGTATGAGCTTAACAATTCGGTTTTTCTTTTCTTTTTTTTTCTTTTTTCTTTTTTTTTCTTTTTTCTTTTTTTTTCCTTTCTTTTTTCTTTTTTTTATTATATGAGTATTCTTTTTAAAAAAAGAAAGAAAAGGTTAAAAGCAAGTAACAAAATTGTCTGGGACCTTACCCAAGATTGTATATGCTCTTCTGTTGGTGTACTGCCATTTCATTTTTAGAGGGTGAACAATGCCATTATACCTTTCCAGAGCAATACAAGTCATTGTAAGAATCTCAGTAACTATTGCAGTAGATTGCACAAATGGCACCATCTTGCAGACAAAAGCACCTATAAGAAAAGAAATTAATCAGATTATTAATTTATTATTAATTTATTCAGAACCAGGCTCAACTATATTGTTTATTTGTTCTTATTTCTGAGAAATGTGCAGGTGGCCATATCTATTGATCTTGTCTGATTTCCTAAGCCTGCAGGGTCACTTTATGGAAGGACAACTTAGAAGGACAATTTAAGAACTCCAGAGCAGTTGGTTGAACTAAGGCTTTAACAGAATAGATATTGCCTTCATACTGATTTATTTATTTAGCAAGAAACAGGCAACATTTCAAGAAGCAACATCAATTTTGAGTAAGAAGTAATTTCTTTGAATTGTGTGGATTAAGCCCTGACTTAATTAATACTAAGTTCAATAGGCACACTTGCTTAAAAAATAATTTGCTTTTTCTGGTTTTTTTTAAAGGTGGATAAACATGGTAATGACTTTTCCAATATTTTTTTTAATAAAGTAAGGATAATAATACAAAACATCTCAACTGAAAGTTTTCAAGGAATGCCATTTGAATCTAGCACTAAGCAACATTATGAATTGTACCTACACTTCTTCTAAAATCACAACAACATTAAAATTATCTTGCCCACGACTATTTGATGGTATCTGTCATAAAGTTTAACAGAAACTGATTTAAAGCAAGGAAATGCTTCCTCTTTTTTTTTCTCCTGTCTTTGGTGAATGAGCATGGTTGTCTTCACAGTAAAATCCTCTGAAATAAACAATAGAAACATTGTAACTGTAGTGAGAAACACTGACTATAGAATGCAATATACTGAATGTTTAATTTCATCACATTGAAACTAACAGGAAGATGCTTGAAGAAAACATTTCCACAAACTGGCTCAACCAATTATGCGAAGTGTTTGTTTCAGTACTCTTAGCATTACTTTCTATCACAAAGCTGCAGCCTAACTGATTCAAATTGAAAAGCCTTGTCTTGAAAGAAGTAGTGGGAGGTGAAAGATGGGAGAGGAGACAGAGAAACTATCATAACTGCAAAAGTGCTGCAGAGGTAACTGCATGTCATTTAGGACTGATAACCTTGTGCAACCTTTCCACTATCTTGTAATGCCATTAAAATTAATGCAGCCATACTAGTTAATCTAATATTACAATGGCTAATGTCTATCATTCAGCATTCCCAAATAGCTTTATTTTGTCAGGTACTATAAATGCCTAGTTTTTATTCCACTCCATTTAGAAGGTGATGCTTTTCCTCAAGCTCATTTACAAATCAACTTTGCCTCTTTGTTAAGAGCAACACAAATCATCTGCACTTAGGCACTTAAATAAAAGGTATTTGGCCTTCCCCCCCCCCAGAAAAATAAACTATTCCTTTCTCAGTTACAATGAAAAGCCCTAGCTGTTATCTCTACAGCAGTGGTTCTCAACCTTTTTAATGCCGCGACCCCCAACTGGTTGTAAGTCGAGGACTAAACCGGTTGTACGTCGAGGACTAAACTGGTCATAAGTCGAGGACTACCCAATCGGTCGTAAGTCAAGGACTTTCCCTGCCCAGAAGCACCACGCATGCATGGTGCCGCCCCCTGCGCTGGCCAAGGCGTAGCTGGCAAGCAGCAGAGACGGAGCAGGCCGACCACCGGCTGGGCCACCAGCTGGCCCAGCCCAAGGGAGGTAAGGCACCCACCGGAAAAGGGGAAAAAATGGCGGACAGCCTTGCTTGGTGACCCCCATGAAATGGTCGATCGACCTCAAATGGGGTCGTGACCCATAGGTTGAGAACCGCTGCTCTACAGAATCATTCACAAGGTCTTGTATGTAATGAATGGCAATTATAGCTCATTAAACATCAGTCAGATCAATGTTGGTTTTAGGATAAGATTTGAGGACAAGTGACTACCCAACTATAGTGCTGAATATTCAGTTAGTATGTGGCAAAGTGATGTTTTAAAATGAGCAAAAGGCTATTATACTATAAAGAAAAACATTATATCAAACATCAATAGACCAGACTCAAAATGTAATTTAAATGTAGAGAAAATGAGATAAAATTCCAATAAAATATGAGAGGGCAGGCCCTAGCTTGATGTAACCTCTCCAACATCTTGTAATGAAACTGCTATAATTCAGCTTCCTTTTTTATTTTCAAAATAAAGATAGAATGAAAACTACAATTTCCCTTTCTTTTTCTTCCCTTCAATCATGTCCAGGTCTCAGAGATTGCCTGGACTCCCTGCAGTTTTCTTGGCAAGGTTTTTCAGAAGTGGTTTGCCATTGCCTCTTTCTTAAGGTTGAAAGAAAGTGGCTGAACCAAGGTCACTCAGCTGGCTTAGAATTTATAGTCTCCTAGTTTCTAATCCAATGCCTTAACTACTACACCAAACTGTCCCTTACAATTTCCATTTCCATATACTAAATCTAAGTAACATGTAAACAAAATTATATTTAAATAAAATCAGTGATCAATGGTTGTGATTCCTATAAATGCTAATCAACTATCTAGTCATCAATATTACATGCAGTCTTTCCCTTGCAATTTGTAATACATAGTTTATGATTTAGTGCAACTTTTCCCAAAGCCAAACTGTGTGCCCAGCAGATGTCAAGAATACAAGTTTGACATTCCCAGTCAGCAATACCATTTTGGATAATTGTAGGAGCTGTTCACACACATGAACACACATATGAACACATTCTAGAGTACTAAACCAAAATCAATACTAAAGTTAAAAAAATCAAGTCCAAGATTGTATATAAACAACCTTGGATTTTTTTCCCCAAAACTGGGAATTTATTGATTCCCCTCCTGATTTAAAATAATCAGAGATTGTTCAATAGTGAGGCAAAATTAGATTTGTATCCAACTTTTAAGGGGACAGGTATGGAGGTATGTAATAGACCATAATTCTTTATAATACATAAAACAACAAAACATGTAATAAAACTAAAACATTAAAAAAGATAAATATGTAGCTACCTGTTGTTATCCTCAAAATAATCAATTAGAACTCAATTATATACAGAGATCATGATTTTATCTTTTTTTTTAACTTTTCAACAATCACTGGTTTGCTAATAAATTCACTACTATAATCTATACAAAGTGTTATTGTAAAATATCATAAAATATTTGCCATAATGATACCTATTGCTGCAATATTCTAAGGCTGCAATATGCTAGGCAATGTATTTATAGTTATTTTTATGTATGATGATAATGAGGAATATTTGATTTACTGAGAAGTTCTGAGAAATAAAGTGGCAGAACAGATCCTTAAAGTGATGTTTGAAAAAGCTGGGAGCAAATCTAATGAGACATATGAGGGTTCTCATCAAAAGCAAAGATTAAGGTCTAAATGGCAGTAGAGGGAATCTTTACATTTGAGGTTATTAAACCAGCATATGTATTCCAGAAGCCCCAAAATGAACCTATAATTAATAACTGGTCAAACCATTTATTAAGTAAACTTTGAAATTAAAGTAGAAAGGCAGTCAAAAAGCAGGAATATAGAGCAAATATCTAAAACCAACATTCAAACACTCAAATAACAAAGAGTAATAATTTGAGAGAGGCAAAGATTTCAGAAAGAAGCATATTTATTTTAACAGAAAAAAGCAGGAGCTTCAGGGAGTAACATATTTAATTCAGAGTGTAGAGAACAGCAAACTGAATTCAAGAGGAAAACGGCCTGGAGTCCAAAGAGTAGCACACTGAATGCAAAATTAGATAAAAGTATGGATATAAGAAAATGGCATGGGAAATGATTGATGTGTCATCAGTTCTTACCAACTATAAAAAGGTAATCCTTGGTTTACAACTAAAGTTGAGACAAGATTTCTATTGCTAAGAAATACAATTATGAGACATCACATGACCAAGACACTTAGCGACAGCAATCCCGACACTATTATCATCATTAATCTTGGGTTAATGGGTTGGGTTCTTAAATGGGTATGCATCCCACTTCAACACCCACCCACCCATCTCCTCCATCTATGATTTTTTGCCCCTGCCACTCTGAACTTCAACATCTTCTTGCTCCCGCTACTGACAAGGCATGCTCAGCCTTGCCCTTCATGCCAAGAAGTCCTTTTGCACTGCACTGAGCTGGGCTTCTTACTGAACCAAGGATCTGGCACTGCTTTTTGTTTGCTTCTGCTTTATGCAACTGCCCTGGATTGGGCCTGGACTTCCTGGCACTGTGTGAGCCAAGGAAGGCAAGGGACCAAAGTGCATATAAAGGAGGGAGACACAAGGGTGGGACAGTGGAAGTCATTCCCTTACTGTACTGAGACTTGGAAATGGGAAGGACTAAGCTGAGAATAGCTTGGATTGGGATGGGTGCTTGCTTAACAACTCATGATTCTCAGTTAATGATGGCAACAGCAAGTGCCGAGATTGCTGTTAAGCATTGCTGTCATTTGATGTCTTGCTTTACCACCACATCACTTACAGTAGTAATGGAAGTTATGTTCCCAATTTTGGTCATAAGTTGAAGATTATCTTTATATAGTTAGTAAGAATTGATGGCAAGTAATCCATTTCTGATGTCATTTTCTTATATTATTGCTTTTATCTCACTCTGTACTCAGTGTGCTATCTTTGGACTCCAGGCCATTTTCCTCTTGAATTAAGTTTTGAATTTAAAGTCTAAATTAAATATGTTACTCCCTGAATCTCCTGCTGTTTTCTATTAAAATAAATATGCTTCTTTCTGAAATCTTTGCCTCTCACTCAAATTATTACTGTTTGTTATTTGAGTGTTTGAACGTTGGTTTCAGATATTTGTACTATATTCCATATAAAATGTCAGCTACTTATTTGATAGCTTTTATACTTTAATTTCAACGATTACTTAATGAATTGTTTGGCCAGTTATTAATTATAGATTCATTTTAGGACTTCTGGAACACATATGCTTGTTTAAAACCTATAATGTAAAGATCTCCAATACTGCCCTCTCTTCATCACAATGTAGTCCTTAATTCTGGTTTTGATAAAAACCCTCATATATCTAATGAGATTTGCCCCCAG